AATCCCATAGCAGCTTCTTCAAGGGCAGAGATAGCACCAACGCGGTCATCGACGAGTAGCGCAGCGTCCGCATTTTTAAGCGCTGCTGCACCTGCGCGCTCCTCTCGTGCGTAGCGCACAGAAATAAGCACGTCATCGACACCATGCGAGAACGTTGTGTGAGTGTCCAGCTGTGGTGATCGACGTTGCTCGTGTTTGCCTGGGCGTTGAGCCAGGCTGTGCTCTGGGACGCGCGCCTTGACGTCAAGTTGTGCCCGCGACGCTTCATCTGACCAATTGAAGCAATCCTGGGCTTCTTTGGCGAGTTCGAGAGCATTGCTTAGGTTACCTCGGACAACTGCTTCCAGGGCTTCTCGCTTCATCGCACGACCATCCGTGTCTGCACGGCGGCAAACGTATTCCACCGGCGCACGACACCGACCGCGTCCTAGAGCTGCAGCCGCAGCGGCCGCCGCCGATGATGTTCCAGCTGACGCTGCACGTTTTTCTGTAGTTGAGAGTGGGTCTGCGAGGGCTTCAGCTATAGGATTTGTAACTCCGAACGTTTGACTATTTCGCTTAGTACGAGTTGTGCTCTTCGTGTCAACTGTATCGAGCTGCTCCGCAGCTGTAGTAAGAGCCTCAACTGCATCGTTATACTCACGACGCTTCAGGGAGACGTCCGCCTCGGCGATGCGTTGATCAGCTACGATGGGGGCACGAATGCTCTCAACGCGCGCTGCGCCTTCACCATCGTCAGCTTGATGAAGATATCGAACCGCAGCATCCGCCTGCTCAAGCGCGGCATCAAGGGAACCTTGTCGCACAAGGACGTCGATGTTGAGCTCAGCAGCTGCAGCAAGACCACGAAGGCGTTCACGCCGTGTCTCCGCAGCACGAACCTCGAAACCGTGTGCAGCAAGAGAAGCCTCAGCAGCTTCGAGCTTCTCCAGGCGGCTATGATCATCGCCCGCATCAGCGAATGCTTGAGCGTCACATAGAAGCGCATCGGCCACCTTTTCACCCGCTATTTTCTTTAAGCAAGTTTCAAGCTCACCTACTGCGATTAGATCAATGGAAGCGCGCTTCCGTCGCTGGCGTGCGGTGTCAACAGAGTACATGGTTGAGTCAGATGCGGAGAAGCGATTCATGTCGTTGCGATAAAGTGCCACTCGGGGTGCCTTGAATGCTTTTAGGAAACGTCGAAGCAGCTCTTGCGCGCGTTGTTCAATGCCTTCGCCGGAGAGACGCGCGAGGACGTCACAGACTGCAGGCACAACACCCCCCGCCAACCGCTCTCGGAACCGGGTCGACGGGTCGCGGTCCTCTTTGATCGCATCTGCAGTCGCGCATGCAGCCTGCGCACCCACGTCAGATTCCACTGCAATCAGTGCCGACCCTCCTTCACCAAGTCCCAAAAGGGAGAGATCTAGACCCAATAGCTCTGCTGCCGTGCTAGGTGCATTTAACTTATCGTTTTGCCAAGGTTTGCGCGCAGCGGCGGCTGCTGCCGCAGCTGCCACGTTTGCTCGTGAAGCTTCAAGACATCGATCGATTTCTCTGGCCTCGGCATGCGCAGCCGCCAAAGCACACGAATCATTATCTGCTGCAATAATCCACTCAAGAGTCGCACGCGCAGCTGCAGACTCAGCGCATGCAAGCTCAAGTGGTCCTGATTGCATTGCTAAGAAGGCTGCACGATCCTGCGAGCTCTGCCCCCTGTTATGCGCTAGCGTCTGCATAATTGTAGTCGCTGCATTGAGACGGCGCCGTGCGTCTTCTAAGGCAAGCGCCGATATCATGCCTGATGCCGTTCTAGTCGCCGCGACAAAGACGGCAGTAACGGTATCTAGTGATGCATTCATACATGGCAACCCAGTCACAGCAGCACGCAGGGCCCACCGTGTTCGCCGGAGAGCCCTCGCCGCTGGTCCGTATTCCCCAAAACCCAACTTCTCAGTCACCTCAGTCCACATCTTGTCCGCCGTACGAACTGCTTCAAGTCCACTGATGCAGCGAAGTGCCACCTCGGCTCCACGAATGTCTCCAGCTTGATCGTATAATGCTCGTGCTGCATCCAACGCCAGACGCAATCGACTCACATCTTTTGTCACAAACGGCACACAAGCTCGAGCTACGCGCTCTAGCTCAGCATCACCGTTGCTTGCCGCCTTTGCAACTGGAATTCGGTAGCCTGCCTGCACCGCTTTGGCAAAGCCGTCGGTCACCAACCCAAATGCATCTGTGCCCGACAGCTGTCTTTTTGCGACTGCGGCTACCGCGTCTGCGGCTGTCCCAGCCGCTAAATCATACTGCCGTAGCCGCACTTGCCGTGCCATCGAGCGCTCCACGATGGTAGCATCTTCCAACGCTACAGTTCGCGCAACATCAAATGTCGATCTCGCACCACGAACCAATGCTGCCGTTGCTGCTGCTCCGCTTGCCCGAGTTAATGGTGATGCATACGCCGCCGCGAGTTCAGCACGGGCACGTTTGCGCGCTCCCAGAGCGGTACCCACCTAGGTGATATGCCCTTGCTCCGAGCAAACGAATTATTTGCGGGACACTTTGAGTATGCCGTATCAGAGATATTTGCGTTGCAGTCAACGTCAAAGAGGTCAGCGCCTCCATCTTCACCCCCAGACCCCTGTGCCTGGGTTGTGTGCATCAACACGTCAGCAGCGTGATAGTCGTGCCGTGCGGTCTCTGCATATGCCTGAGAATGTCACAAAATATCTTTATATAAAACAAAGCAAGCTACCACACTGGCTGGGACCTCACACGAAGCATAATCCCGCTGCAAACGAGCTGCTGCGACTTGAGCCACATCCCGATCACCTCGAGTCTGCATCGCTAAGGCCTGAAGCAAAGCGTCGACCTTCACACTATTGATGACGGCACACACCTCGGCACCTCGAGCTGCCACATGGTCACCACCGCCACGCAACGAGGTCGCCGCACTCAAAAGCGATGCAATAGCTCCATCAAAGTCCATGATCGATCGACGACGAACCTATCACTCCTTGCTCGGGGAGGTTGGTTTAGTTTCTAACCCTGGCAAATTTACACCCTTGGAGATTATATTGGCACCACGAGAGAGACAGTCACGCTTGCGGCGCGAGTCGGCGCAGCTATCCCTCATCAAAACAAGAGACCCAGAGGAAGCCGCGTGCTCTGATCCGGCTAATCGTCGATTAATCGAACCTTCACCGAAAGCCAGTTTACAACCGTCGTGGGTCCATGTTCGTGGTAATCGAGCTGGTGCTGAATAAAGAGATTGCCCACCGAGGCGGGTCTTGTAATAAGAAACATCTCTAGCTTTGTGTGCTCGAGCGTTGTGGGTTCGCCATGTCTTCCGAGCGTATGGAGATGTCACCGAGACCGAGTGATTCATGAGGGCGCTACGACAAGATACACTCTTCTATGCTGTAGTTATGAAAATTTACACGCCGCTGACGCCTTCCAACGCCCCCGCCCACGTAGCCTGTCGTAGCTAGGGAGATAGAGGGGACTTCCACTTGCCTAGCGCCCCGCTGGTACAAAGCCGCCCTAGGACTCGCAGGGGCAGCGCCAGGGCAGCGCCGCCCTAGGATTTCCTCGCAGGGGCAGCTGCGAGGAGTACGCAACGTCACGTTGATGGGCAGTAAGAAATGACTATAACTTAGCTTAATTCTTAGTAGTAGGCAGCTAACCGGGATTCAGCTCGGTTCGTACGCTCTAGGGGGCGGAATGGACGCCGCAAAGCTTACTGTCCTTCAACGTCCGCGCCCGCTCGTGCAGTCTTGCTTCGTGCCGGCTCTAGATGCTTGAGCGCTTCGAACCGTATCTTCCCAAACACGAAGCCGATCTTTGGCATATCTCCGGGCCGCAGCCCTGAAATTGTACCGGGATTCACTTTATTTCATCGCTCTGCGGCGCGAGCGATGATGTCCCGCAGCTCAAACCGTGCGTACTGACCTTTTTTTGTTGAACTTCACAGGTGTTGGGCCGCATGCGGCTAACCGTCCTTGGAAAAAAATGTTCATGGAATTTAATGCTGGCCTAAAAATTGTTAGAATGGTTCCCACAAAAATTCCTGGGGACCTTGGCTATGAAGATGCAGGGGCATTTCGATGAATGGTGGCTGTGTGCAAAGGAGCTGATTGGTGCATCTGTATTGCGACGAATGGAACCCGACGTCCCCCGACAACACTCTGGCCGCCATCTTCGGGCTCCTTGTCTGGGCGGATACGTCCTCATCGGACTCCTCGCATCAGAAGTGTGAAGGAGGCCTGCTAAGCTGACATCCCCACGAAAGACTAAGAAGACCTGTTCCGTGAAGAAGGCAGGGGGCTTTACCATTATCGACTCGCCAAAGAATAAGAAGTGGTACTGGGGTGGCGAGCCACAACCGAGGGGGACAACCGATTCACCAAATCGCGAAGTGGAAACGTCCTGCCACATCCGACCGCAGTGGGGAACTGGGGTCAAAATCGCTCCCAACCACTGAAAAGTGGAACCGCGAATGAATCGTTGTTTCCGACAAGATCAGCCCGATCGGAACTGGCTCGCCACCCCAGTATGCCGCCGAGGGCACATTCTCTCCAAGTGTCAACGCTATCGAGCAGTACGACTCTGGTCACACATGCAGACCTTCAACGCGTTGTGCGACCATGCCGCGCACTCTGTCAAACCAGGCAATGATGAGGAGAAGTGCGTGCCAGCCCCGAGCTAGTACAACCAAAGTGCAGCGTGAAAGACATCAATGAGCAGAACCACTTGAGTGAATCGATAATAAAGTGCAGGACCGGGACTATTAGCGTCATGGCGGGCTTGCTTGAGCAATGAAGGCGTCACCTTGCCAAGGTTCGCTTATTACAAGTAGGGTCGACTCTTCTGTCATCCGAATTTACCCCGCTTTGCCATCTCTCATAAAAACGGAGCGATTTGGACCTGTTTGAAAGATCGAGGTTCGCAAAAGCCGCAAAAAGATGCCTTGGTTCAATGAAGGGAATACTTTTCCGAGTTATCTTGAGTCTGCTGATAGCATACAACGCTGCGTGTCGGCAGATGTCAATAATCTCTGCTCCAGAACACAAAGCTGAGCACCTTGCAAGCTGTAGAATGACAAAACTATCGCAAAGCATGGAAACTGGCATGCTCCCTAACGCAGAAATAAGAATTTCACAGCGGCTGTATAGGTCCGGTGGAGGAATGTATAGTAAGAAGTCGAGTCGCCCAGGCCGCATCAGTGCAGGGTCTAACAAGTCAGGTCGATTAGTCGCAGCAACAACAAAAATATGGCTCTTTGACGCAATGCCATCGAGTTCAACCAAAAGCTGTGCAAGGACACGATCTGTTGCAGCACTTTCACTGGGTAGTGCGCTACTTGTGCGGCGAAGAGCAAGTGCATCGACTTCATCAAAAAAAACAATTGAGGGTGATGTTGATTCTGCGCGCAAAAAGATCCCATGGAGAGCACGCTCAGAGTCGCCTAGCCACATGGACAGCAACTCAGGACCAAGAACAGTTAGGAAGCTCATTGAGCATTCAGTAGCAATTGCACGAGCGAGCATGGTTTTCGAGCATCCAGGTGGACCATAGAGTAAAACCCCGCACGCTGATGTATTTACACCAAGCTGAATTAGTGTTGAGGCATACGACATAGAAGCATAGAATAGTTCACATAACGTGCGCTTGACGCTAGCAAGCCCGCCCAAATCTTTCCACTGTACCGCGGGAATCTGCTTTTCACACGCTTGATATCGGGATAAGAGCTGAGAGCGAGCTTGAAGAGCATGTTTGTAGCAAATCTTGGTGCGACTCAACCTCCCCCAGTACTGCTCAAGAATCGACGTTTGTAGAACTTCTTTGAAAGCCTTTAATAATATGGCTTTCCCAATTAGCTTGCGATCTACATTTACAAATCGATTCACGCCAGATGTATCCAAAGTCAGGTCGCTCAAATAGTGTGGTAAATCAGACGGTATCATGGTCTTAAGCATGGTTCCAAGATCCCGAGCGGATTGTTCGCTTGGCGGCTTGGCCAAGGAGACACGATCTAAACGCCCTGACCGATTTAAGACCGGAGAAACCACAGATGCTCGGTCATATGCCGCAATGATGACACCACTGGTCATGCTATCTAAACAAGACATCAGAATATTAATTACAGGTGTAAAAGCAGATATGGACAAAACATCAAGTTCCTCAATGAGAAGTGTGGAACCAGTCGACGAAACATGCGAAAATAGGGCACGCAGTATCACGTGCGCCTCTTCCATACCTAGAGCTGCAATACCCACGACTTGCTTGGCATTGAGAACTATAAGAGCCGAACGCAGACCATTTTGAGCCCTGGCGGTTTCCTCAGATTGAATTGGTGTTGCACTCAACTTCAGTAAATTTTTGCGGCGAGGAATCGAGAGAAGGCGTATGCAGCGACCCATCATCTCCATGCGTAGTTTGCCATTTCCCGGGTGACCTGCAACTAAAACGCCCCTTCCTAGATAGGCATGCGAAGATCGACTTGCAATTTCTGAAGCGAGACCTGCCATTTCTGTTGTTTTGCTCCTATCTAGCCTTATTTCATCAACATGTTCATGGCTTTGTGCTCTCGACTCGAGTGCAATGCAAGTATGTACAGTCACCCGCGCGAGATCCCTCGCAGGTTGATTGCCGAGGGTCTCAAGTGAATTAATGCGCAGACGAAGAATGTAATCATCTAGAGTGATCGTATGTATGTCACCTTTCCCGACGACCATACCACGTAGAGCTAACTGGATGAGGTGGCACCCATTTGAGAACTTATCTGTTTTTAGGGAGTATTTGTTTTTAACTTGTAGTAGTTCAACCCTCACTGCCACGGCACAGATTAGTTGCGCTATAGGCTGCAGGCATGCTTCAACATTCTCTTGCGCTGAATCATCTGATGATGCGGACACAAATGTAGCCATTGTAGGTTTTAATTTGTATGATGGCCATGCTTCAACTACTGATGAAAATAAAGAGGGGGGGTCTACCACGAGATGCAGGAGCTGTCCAGCAGTAAATTGTGAATGTTTGAAATCAGTTGGATTTAACAGTACCCGCGGCAACAATCGAGGATCATTTTGACGAAAATTTTGACGAAGAACGCACGGCCGCTCTGTTATAGAATATAATTTCACTCGCAACTTAATGGACATCTTGGCACCGCAAACGAATCATATACTGGTTGGTGCGCAACTCGTGGTCATGCTCTTTGAGCTAATTTGAATGCCAGCTGCGAAGAGGTCCAGGGCCGGCCAGCGCGTGAACACGAGTACCCCAATCCGGACGAGTCTCTCTCAGACCGTGTTTCACTTGCCGGGCGGTAAAGCTCGGCGTGCCAAAGCTTTCACTCGGTCCTGGGACCAGAGCTGCTGCTCAATCGTGCAGACGAGGCCGGTTCGCTCCTGGGCCACATATTAAGGCAGCGCAAGGGCGCCGCGCCGCGCGGCCGGCTTTCGGCACCGTAAAGCGCCTGCTTTCGCCATCCGCGGACAGCTCGGGCTACGAGGACTCCCATCAACAAATCAGCGCGTCCAAAACCATCCGCGCAGAGGCGCTGCGGCTACATGGAGGTTTCGACGATGTGATATACGCGCGGGATA